TACATTACCAGCTTCAAAGTCAGGCATGTTTTTTGCTCGGAGTTTGATGATGTTGTAATTCATGTCTGTCTTAGGTCAAATAAAACGGGTCAGATATCAATAATTTTGAATGACTTAATTGGTTCATGTCGAGAAAAGCTTAAACGTTATTTAAAAATGATAAAATGACACTGATCGAGGGCGCATTTGAAAGATCAATTGAAATTGGGGACGTAACTCTCACCCCAAAACTGGAAAAGTGTTTAATCAAAAATGATGGTGATCTGACAGCACTTCCCTGCATTAGCATTTTTATGTTTGATCTCACGAATAGGAGATATTTTTAAATTGATTGAGTTTTTTGGTGTTTTATGACGCCACAAAAATCAAAATTACTTGTTTCTGCTAGTCTTCACACTAAGTGTTTGTTGGTGTTCTAACTGGGATTTTTAATATTTGTCTTATAACAAAAAGATTTCCAGATATTTGGAAGATCGCTAAGGTCTGTCCAGTGTTTAAGTGTGGGGATAAGTCAAATATTGAGAATTACAGGGCAATCTCTATATTATGCATTGTTCTCGAAAGTCTTTGAAATAGTCTTGTACAGTCGCATTTACACTGCCGTCCAGCGTCAGCTGTCATTGCATCAACACGGATTTGTGGCTAATCGCTCAAAAACCACAAATCTATTTATAATAACGCAGTACCTCTCGGACGCCATTGATAGTAATGAGCAAGTTGACGTTATTTATACCGACTTTTCGAAGGCTTTCGATAAAATTAACCACAAAACTTTATTAAATAAGTTAGGTGCACTTGGTGTCACAGATGATGCTCGGGAGTTGATGAAATCTTACTTATCCGATCGTAGACAATTTGTTAGCTATAATGGATTCCAATCTGAGACCTACTTAGCACCTTCTGGAGTTCCTCAGGGGTCCAACCTGGGACCATTACTGTTTCTGATATTTATTAATGACCTCTGTGACTCAGTTGAATGTGAACGCCTATGCTTTGCTGACGTCCTAAAAATTTATTCGCAGATAAATACTCCTGATGATTGTATCAAGCTACAACACCAATTAAATTTTGTGCTGTCTTGGTGTGTAGAAAACAAGTTGGAGCTTAATATGAGGAAGTGTAAAATAGTCAGCTATACCAGGAAAATTAATGTTTGCGAATATCCGTAATCTATTGATGGGTCTGTGCTAGAAAGATGCTCTGATGTACGTGATTTAGGTATAATCTAGTCAGCACATAAATAAAAAAGCATCAGAAGCATTGGCGGCTTATGGTTTCACAGTAAGGAATTGCAGGAATTTTCATAACATAAAGGCTATTATATTATGCTTATGTTAGATCCAAAGTCGAATATTGTAGTATTATTTGGAGCCCTTACTATGAATGCTATAGCACAGCTATTGAAAGAGTACAATGGAAGTTTATGAAGTTTGTTCTGTTTAGGATTGATGGGACATATCCAGAGAGAGGTACAAGTAATGAGGAACTATGTAGTCGCTTAGACATGTTGACTTTGAAAAAACGTAGGTACTGTGCCTCAATAATATTTGGCTACAAAATGATCAACAATTTAACTGATTGCCCCTTGATCCTGGAACAGATCAAGTTTCGTACTCCAACGTTTGCATCTCGCAATCATAAAATATTCGGGCTTGCTAGAGCTAGGACAAACACTCTTCTCAAGTCACCGTTATATGTAATGTGCTCTAACTTAAGCAGAATTGGATGTTACTGTGATATATTTACGACAAATTTTAATTACCTGCTAAAGGCAGCTAAGGCTTATTCGGACCAATAGCTCATGTTACAAATTTATACCTTTGTTGCATTTGTTGTTTTCTTTTCGCTTTTTTTTTGCTTTTGTATTATGTTTATAAATTTTCCTATAAATAACTATAAATAAAACTGTTGGACAATAAAGCTATTATTATTATTATCTGCGTCACGTCGACGTTCTTGCAGCCGCGTAATCTCAGTAAACCGCAGTATCGATTTTGATTGAGCTTACGGGGTAGCATTGTGGAAGGAAGAACGAATGCAAAGATGCTTTGACGTTCAATAGATATTCTTTGTATTGAAATGATCACTCTTTTAAGGGCTGTGCGCAGACATCTATAACTTTTGTTTTATTTTTATTTCACAGATTCCACTGCGAATGCCTATTCCTAATGAGATTGTCGTAACAGATGATGGATTTGTCTTAATGCGTAAGCTCAAAATACAACTGGTTCCTTGAAATAGGTTTCTTGAAAGGGTTTCCATGATAAGGAACCTTCCAGTATGAATCATTTTGTGTTGCCGTCAATGTAAGGGCCAACGTGTTTTCTCCCGTTTTCCCGCATGAATGCAGACAAAGATGAAGGGCCAATATGTCGATAACACCGATATGAGCTTTTCAAATATCGGTACCAGCCGTAGAAGTAGAATTATTCATTATACTGTTTCCAGAATTTTATATTAATATGCTGTGCTATTGATTCCTAATAAGGCATCCTTTGCGCTATTCAATATAATACCACGACTTGCTGCCAACAATTGGGCAAACATCTTTGATCTGCATACGTTCCGTACAGAATTTGCAGTATGCTTACCCATCAAAGTACCGCGTATACAGCTTTGAGTACACTATACATGACTAACATAAACCTGGTATACGTATAGTAGTTGAGCTATTTTGAGGTCATTAAAATACCCGTTATGCCAGACATGCTTTTCACGAGGCATACGGTGAAATATAAAATAGGTTTATAGTGTGCAGACGAGCTAGTATCATGTTTGGATTGGTGATAGGGTAATGATACTGGAGGGAAGAACTTGAATTAACAGAATTCTTTAACCTCAAAAGTAACTCAGAGATGTTGTTTCGCAACAAACGTGAGAAATTGCCATTATTTGCCTCATTCCTATGAGAACTCACACTGCTACCCTGGGTAAACAATAACCAGAAAATATAGGTAAATAAATAGATGTGTGCCTTCATGCAGAGTTCTTTGGCTTGGTAGGCACATAATTCTCACTGCTCTCCAATTGTTTTGACAGCGTTATAAACTGGGATATTTGGGTTTGAATGGTAAAGGAGTGATGCACCAACGTACTATTTTTGCTACATACTATCCAAATAGTAATGTTACTTTCTTTTGCAGTCGTGCTAACAAAAATTTGATTTTGAAATCACCTGAAAGGGTTATGTGTTTGAATTATAATAGTATTTGTAAGTTTTATGACATATCCTTATGTTCTATTTCGGAGCTGAAATGTGTTTTGTGGGAGCGCCTTAGATAGTTTTATAAGTTTTTCTAATTTAAGATTTTGGCCTATAATTGGAATATTATCTGTTGGGCAATAAATGCTTTAAATATATAAGTAAATAACAATGAAATTGAAATTTGGACATATAACACGAGTGTCAAAATTTCGTTTTGTGTGGTTTTGCAGTTTCTGACAATTTTCGGTGTACAAGTCGAAATTCCGCTTTGTGGTGACTTCAGGGCAAACAAGAAATAATGGGTGATTTTTTTGCTAGTATCTTTTTGGCAACACTGTTTTTGACAGATGACGCGTGAATCGTGTCTTGTGTCATTGTCAAACTAGTTCAGTTTGGTCTATAATTTAACCATGAATCGACTTACGAACGAACGACGCTTGCAAATTATTGAATTTTACTATCAAAATTCATCCTCAGTTAAGATAGTGCATCGAGCACTGCTTCCAATTTATGGGCAATTTGGTCGGCCTACTGATGGAGCTATTCGGAAGCTTGTGACAAAATTTCGAACCAAGTTTACATTATTGGACATTAAACCACCAACACGCAGACGTGGAGTGAGGACTGAAGAAAATATTGCGGCTGCATCCGCCAGTGTTAGTGATGACCGTGAAATGTCGATTCGCCGCCGTTCGCAGCAATTGGGCCTCTGTTACTCCACTACGTGGAAAATTTTGCGACAGGATTTGGATGTAAAACCTTATAAGATATAGTTGGTGCAAGAATTGAAGCCACACGACCTCCCACAACGTTTCCAATTTGGTGAATGGGCGGTGGCAAAGTTGGAGAAAGATCCACATTTTTATCGAAAAATTGTGTTCAGCGACGAAGCTCATTTCTGCTTGAATGGGTACGTTAACAAGCAAAATTGCCGCATCTGGAGTGAAGACCAGCCAGAAGCATTGCAAGAGCTACCAATGCATCCCGAAAAAATCACTGTTTGGTGCGGATTATGGGCCGGTGGCATCATCGGGCCGTACTTCTTCAAAGACGACAATGGCCGGAACGTAACTGTGAATGGCGAGCGCTACCGTGCGATGATAACAAACTTTTTTTTGTCCAAAATGGAAGAGCTGGACTTGGCTGACATGTGGTTTCAACAAGACGGTGCCACATGCCACACCGCACACGAAACAATGGCCCTATTGAGAGGCGAGTCCGGTGAACAGTTTATCTCACGTTTGGGGCCCATCAACTGGCCGCCTAGATCGTGTGATTTAACGCCGTTGGACAACTTCTTGTGGGGCCATGTTAAGGCTAACGTCTACAGGGATAAACCGGCAACGATTGACCACTGGAAGCCAATATTGAAGCATTTGAGAGAGTGTGCCAAAATTGGACCTTGCACATGGCCCATCTAAAGCGGAGCCGCGGCCAACATTTACTATACATGAAATAATCTTTAAACATTAAATTATATCGACCGTTCTATAGACTCTAATAAAGATTTAATCGTTTCTTCAAATTTTTTGTTTTTTTTTAAATCAAATCCTATACCTCTTAAAAAATCACCCATTATTATAGAACCCAGAAATTCTGAATTCTTATAGTATACAAATTTTTAGCGTATATATCTTGGAGCAGTATTTGGTTTTCTCTAAAAAGTTGTGAATCTTTTTGAAACAGTACTGCAGATTTATTTTGTATGAAATGATTGCATAGCAATAAAAATCACAATTATTGATATGATTTTAGCAACGAATACTTCGAGATTAACGTTTTTTTATCTTTCCAGAGATAACAGAATCGGACGAGTCAGCAGAGCTACCATCTGGAGGCGATGTGTGGGTCCTGGTAATAAAAAATGCCAAACCCACAGATTCAGGAGTTTACGTGTGTGAAGTTAACAGTAGTCCGACTGTGAGGAGTTTTCATAAACTTAGCGGTAAGTTCAGCGACTGTATCTAAAAATCATCTACTCAGTACCTTATATTTCAAACATTGAATTGATATTATTTGTTCCGAATAAATACGCTTTCGAGAGGTGCCAGTTTTCGTGAATTTAGTGGTGTGATATTCTTTCTTTATTCTCGATTCATGTTTATCCATTCTAATATCTATCATTTAGTTCTGAGAACTGATATCAAATTGTAAATTGAATAAAATGGTTTATAATTCACCTCTGAATAGTAGAAATTCAGTAGAATGTAACGCAATTATAAATGGATATGCACTATAATGAATACAGTTTAATTTTCAGAATTGAGCTGTTCTATACACACATACCCGCGTATGTTGCAATTCTGCCAGCAGCGTGGCTGTAAATTATCGTATTTTCTACCTTATTCACGGAGAGCTTGTCTACAGAACAGATATTTTTTGTTAAAATACATCAGAAGGCTACCATCTGAAAAAGTGACCTTTTCCATGCTTTTTAATGCTATAGGGAAAACGCACGATTCAAAGACCACATACAATGAAAACCAAATTTATCTGACGGCTGGAGTTCAATGCGTACGAGAGAGAAGTGTGTATATGTTAGAAAGAGATAGAAGCGAAGCTCATCACTGCGTTGCCTAGCAACGCTGACGCGGCAATGTGCCGCGTTGCCAATATGTTACACTAGTTGCTTGAATGAAGATGTATGTTGAAAGTATGCGTTCGTTTATTCTCTCCGCCCAAATAATGCTTTATTTTGATCGTACACATTTTTTAATTGTGCTGAATCTGTTTAGGGTCGATTCTGGATCGGTCCTAAAGGTGCTTTATTTCAGGTCGAAATGAAAGGTCAGTATCGCCACAGGTTCTGCAATATTGCATCATTGATTCGCTTGGCAATACCGCATCTCCCACATTCCAAGGCAAGGTTTCCACCTCCATGATCATGAAAGAATCAAACCAAGAGGAATTAATTTCTCTACTGACTGGTCTAACTAGTGGTTTAATGATTCTTTCGTTTATTTTCAGTGATATCAAAAAGCATGTCCCCTCCAAACACCACATATGCTGCATCAGAGTCCGCAGAAGATAGACAACTTAGTAGTAGAAACCATAATTATACGGACTGCTGCATATCAAAAAACGTATCCTCGTCTTGCCTTGGGTTTTGCAATATACATGTAAGTTATAGTTTAATGTGTTTGGTTCATATTGTAATAATAACGGCCATAAAGAGATTCGTATTCTGTCAATCTGAATCTTCCTACTTCAAAAGACGGAACGCCACTTTTAGCTTAATCGATAAAGGCTTCGGTGGTCACGGGTAGTCACTTCCTCAATTATAAAACCCTTTATTGATTGAATAACCCAGCTAAAAAATACATACACTACCGTTCAAAAATGTTTGGACACCTGCATATTTCCATTTAAGATCATTATTTGGAGCTCTGGGGGATATTGTGAGAGTACAGGGAATGCTGAATAAAGAAGGTTACAAAGCCATACTACGAAATCATGTTGTGCCTTCTGGGACTCGTCTTATTGGTCCGGGGTTTATCTTTCAGCATGATAATGACCCCAAACACATAAGCTGTAAGCAATTTTTGGAAGCAAAATAAGAAAAAAATATTTTGAAAGTCATGCATTGGCCTACCCAATCCGTCGAATTTGAATCCGATAGAGTTGCTGTGGGTTGAACTGGACAGACAAGTACGGAAATTTTGTCCTACATCTCAAGACCACTTATGGAGAATATTACAAGACGAATAGCATACACTTCAGGAAAACTAGTTCCGCGTTTACCCATCATTTACTAGACAGTACTGAAAAAAAGAAAGGAGGATATATTGATGAGTCAAAAATATGACTATTTTGATTATAAGCAGTTGTATGTTGTTAAGAATTAATGGGTTAAATAACTTCCATCAGTTTCCTTGTTTTCTAGGTATTCAAATACTTTTGAACGGTAGTGTAATATCAACTATAAAGCTACTGGTGACAATAACCGCGAAAAGACTGCGGATCTTGTTATCATTTGACCTTATACGATGTTGGCATTGCATCAGATAACAATATTGTTCACAGTTTGAATAAATGGATTAGCCCTTGGAATCCTGTTGAATAAATACGTATACTTAAACAATTTGTTCTTCCATTTAGAGCATTTTAGAGGGCACAACAGGTCAAGACCCAGAACAATGCGAACTGGACTTCCCGAAAATTGTACACTGCATGGCCGATGGTAGGAATCACGTACCGTGCTGCATCCAGGAGCGGGTACCTGACATTTGCCAGGACGTTTGTAGGGGAGAATACACAGCTATAACTGATAATATCAAAACTCACTTCTCCTGTTCTACCTATACAGAGCAGACCCTGGCTTGCATTGTGGAAGGAATTGGTAAGCATTGCAATTTTGACCACAATAGGTTAGGAAAACATAATCTTGGCAACCGCAAATAGGGTATGCGTAAACAATAACGTTGAAATATGATTCATAAAAATGGGTTATAAGTTTACTTTTACGTATATGTTATTTGAAAAATATTCTATGCTTCCGTGCCTAGGTAAAGGTAAACATCATTTACTGCTATTTTTTCATTTTGACGCCAATACATCCCTTTTATTATTACATTGGTGTCAGACGCAGTAAACGATGTTTATAAAGGGTGGGCCGTCCCTTGGTTTCTTTTTTAAACTGGTATTAAAACTACACTCTTCAATAATATGTAACACTCGGTATAAAGAATACACCTTCCGATTATATTATTTATGAAAAACAATTTCAGTTAAATGGTTGCCGCGGCTGGCCTGGCAGTAGTCCATCCTCTTAACTCAATTTTGATAGTTTGTGGGTCTATTTTATCAATAGCTCGACGGATATTTTCCTTAAGAATATCAATTGTCTGAGGATCGTTTGTAACAGCGTAACAGCGGTCCTTAACAGTATCCCATAGTAAGTAATCCATAACGCGATGACCGAACTTGGTGTGTAAAAGATCGGTTGTTTTACGTCTGGTGTGGCATGTCGCACCATCCTGCTGGAACCAGAGATTGTGCAAGTGCATGTCGTCTAATAGTGGCCAGAAAAAACTTCTCAACATGTCTCTATAGCGTTACCCGTTTACCGTCACGCTGTTACTATCTTCATCTTGCCAAAAGAAGGAATCAATAATCCCACCACTTCAAAAGCCACACCAAACAGTCACTCTTTTTGGATGCATGACGACATGTGGTTTTCAGTACCCCAAATCCTACAGTTCTGCTAATTAACGTAACCTTCCAGATGGAAATGGGCTTCGTCCGAAAAGATGATTTGGCGACCAAAATTGACGTTCGTTTCCAACTGACTTAGAGCCCACACAGAGAAACGATATCGAAGCGGATGGTCATTTTCAACTCTTACACAAGTTGCACCTTGTAAGGAAATAATCCCAGGTCGTTACGCAATATTCTCCGTACAGAAGTGCGACTGATACCCACTTGTATTCACTTTGAAAATAGTTTTTCAATATTTCCCACCTTTGTTCAAGATTATAATGATCCATTACTTACAGCGGAAGTTTCACACAATATATCTGTCAATATATTGAGCGTGGAAGTGTTACCAACTGTCAAAATAATACCAACTTAACATAACCAACTGAAGATGTTGTTGAGGATAGGTAAGCAAAGCAATTCAACTCGCAGTGGTCTTCGGTTCAGAACAGTTTATTGAGTACTTGTACATGAATGTGTAGATACGCGACAGGTGTATACCGGGCTTCCGCGTACCGCGCGCGTGCTTTGGCTGCTGTTGTTCTTCAACTGCTTCCTACGACTGACTCTTTACGACTGACTGCATTCCTGGGGCGGCGCGCGTGGACAGACCGCTGTTATGCCAGCCATACACGTAACGATATTCTTGCGCAAACTTAGACTTGCACAAGTACACTGTAGCGTGTGTTGGAAGATTTTTGCGCAAGTGTCTAGACTTGTACAAGTCGCAAGAACGTTGCAATTTTCGATTCCGAGACTTGTGCAAGTTTACGTTTGAGCAAGTTTACTTGAACGTGTGTGGCAACGAGCGTTCGCAGTTAGCGATGTCCTGCTGCTTGGTTGTACACACGCATTGCGTTGTTCAGCTCCAAAATGAGTGAGACACGTGGAGTTCGAGAAAATTTGGAAGAATTTATAAATGTGTACAGAAATGAACCATGCCTCTGGCAAATAAAGAACAAACACGACCATAATAGAGATAAAATGATCATTCATTAGATTTACCAGATTTATCTACCGACGTATTGCAAATCGTAAAAGAGCATTTTAAGCGTCCTTTGTTGAGCGAAGACCGATTTGATATTTTTGGCAAAAATTTCGCAATGAAACTGCGCGATCTACCAATACAGCAAAGGCTGATTGCTGGAAAAAATATAAACGACTCATTATTTCAAGCAGAAATGGGCAACTTGAGACTGCCACATGGAGAGTTCAATGTACGTACGAGTTCTATCGCACAACTCCCAGTCCTCCAACATATCAGCCACAACAGTTTATTCGTGCAACTCCAACTCCCAGTCATTCAGCACACCGGCCACAACAGTTCATTCGTGAAATCCCAACTCCAAGTCCTCCAACACAACACTCACAGCAGTTCATGCATTTAGGATCAACTCTATCTTCATTGCCACGCATCGAGCAAGAATGTAATGATTCTTCCACGCCTTCCATGCAGTACAATTCGGATTCACAACATTCGACTGAACATACTGAAGTGCAATTATCTATTCCAGAACAATCAGCCGGGGCATTTATATCCAGCTTCAATGATTGTCAATAAATGTTTAAGAATTAAAAACCTTTTACTCACCTTAAAATAATCCTTCCGCAGTACTTTGTATATCGCTTCACATGTTTCTGGAATAATAACACCCAACGCCTGGGGTGATATTATTGTTGTAAACTTTAGGTCTTCGTAACTCCTTCCATTGCGAGAAACCTCAGAGTTGCTGTCAATCTTTCGTGTGGCGATATAGCTTTTCGCATTACAGTATCTTGCTTATTAATAAGTGGAGTAACCATCGATAGAAGCTTCAAGTAAGTTTCTACGTTCATACACAGGTAGTTATGCCAGTCTTTGGGTGCAAATTTCAATTCGTTCACTAAATTGATGTGTGAATAATGTTCTCTTTTCATTAACCAGTCCTTACACCATATAGCTCGATGCCTTTTAGATCTTTTCAGTTTTTTTGTAGCAACTATCAAGCCAACTATCGCCATAGCATCATAAATGGCGCAACACAACTCGCCTGCTCCATGACTTTCTCAAAAATGATCGGTCAAGTATACTTGCGCTGTGTGTGCTCGAGATAGGATGATGTGTGTTTGCGCAAGTCTAAGCTTGCACAAGTATATCGTTACGTGTATGGCTGGCATAACAAGCTTCAAGGTTAGGCGACGTGTCTGGTCGTCTCACCAGTAGCGGCGCGGCAGGGTGACGCTAGTACGCGTTCCAACAGATGTATATCCAGTTTTGATTATTAGGCTATTATCCATATATTTGCGCAAATCTGATGACGGTTTTTGATTCATTTACAGCAATTTTTGATTCATATTAATATGGGCCATTATGGGTCTCCTAGCTGGATATTGTCTAAGACAACATGAGGCTCTTGTATCTAACATAAGAGGTACTGCAGAGAGTATGGGGAAACTCTGTGCATCTCTTGTATAATGGAGGGTAGCAAATTAAGGTCCATTACTATTTATTTTATATATTAACGATATTCCTGATATTTTACAATACTGCAAAATTCATCTATTTGCTGATGATACATTAATATATATACTTCGAAGTTGAGTCATTTATTTTAACACTGAGTAGATCTGATCAAAAGAAATGTTTTTTTCCTTTACCATTTTTCTGGTAAAATTAAAGTAACAAAGCAACAACGGATATAATCCGCCATCGGTTCATCGCATCGGAAACAAAAAAGCGAAAGAATTTGGAACGATGTTTTTACAATTATTTTATTCAGTTGTGTTGTATACAATCAGTGTCAGTCGGTAACGCGTTAGTGAATAGTAGTGTCTGTTGCGTGTCTCAAACGAAATAAAAAATGGCACATGTTTATGCCGATCGGTTTCCCGATCGAGTGCAACCAACCCCTCGTGCCTTTGTTAATGTAGTACAACGGGCTCGTGAATCAGGTGACTTAAGACGGCATGCCGGTGCTCCAAGACCTCGCGATCAAATACAGGTCCGCACTGAAATACTTGTCGGGAGGATACTTTATAAAACAAGGTAAATTTTTTTTTTAATTTTTTTTTATCTTTACACACATATTTTGGTTTATCTTCCTTCTACAATCATTATCTGAAAATTAATGACTCAACTTCAAAGTCACCCTATATATATATATATATATATATATCAAATAAAGACATTGAAACTGCAATAGAGCTGTTAAATAATGATGTGAAAAAAGTAATAGATTGGTTAAATGTAAATAAACTTAAACTAAACACAAACAAAACAAAATATATGCTAATAGGAAAATCAAAATAGATCGAAATACGATAAATCTTACAATTAATCATGAAAAAATTGTGTCAATCGAATCATTTAAATATTTGAGCATATACGAAGAAAGTAAATTAAAATTTGAAGGGCACTATGGATCTACTATTTCAAAAATATCCAATAAAATAAATTACTTTTATAGAATTTCGCATAGCCTATGCGTTTACTCTAAAAAAATTGTGTACAACACTATCATTCTTCCTCATTTGTTATATTCTTAAACTATTTTGTTCACTGCAAATGAAACTGTATTTTCAAAATTACAAATATTACAAAATAAGGCTCTGAGAATCATCCTAAATTAAAGTAAATATACTAGAATAAATTGTATGCTGAAAGAACTACAATGGTCAAATATCACAAATTTTATAGCCTTAAAAAATCATCTTCTACCAAACCACTTAGAAAATCTTATTGTATTGACCAATAAGTGCCACATTATTCTACTAGAGAAAGTATAGACTTTCATTTACAAAACTGCAGAAGCAATATAACGACCAAGTCAGTATTTCAAAAGAGATTGTACGAATTTAATACAATAAGTAATGATATCAACATGTGTGTCAGTTTGAAAATATTGAAAGGGAAATTGAAAAAATATCTCATGGAAAACCAGAATTCATAGTAGTGAAATTTTGTATAAAGTCAGGACAATATATTTTGTGATATACTGTTCAATATGGATATTATGGACATTGTAGCATTAATGCTAAATAAGTAAATCTGAAACAAACAAAAACGAAACGTGTAGACTCATGTTCAGACAAGGAATCCGATCTTGGCTCAGTTCTCGAGTAGCTCCACTTCAGTTCGATTCCTTTTTCCCCAAGAAACCTGATAATGTCAGACTTGCTGCAATGCACACACGATTTTCTCGGGGAATTCATTGAAATGTACAAATTTCCCAAGTTTGTGGCAAGTGGAAAATAAAGACTATAGTGACCGTAATAAAAAAAACGTCGCGTATGGGGATCTTATAAAAAAATATAAAGAAATAGACCCGATGGCAAATAAAGAGACTGTTACAAAAAAAAAATATACTCGTTGAGATCGCCATACAAAAAAGGGTTGAAAAAAGTGAGGGCATCAGAAATATCTGTTACTAACTCTAGCAATTTATATCCTCAAATAATTGCGCCAGTCATCAAGTTTGCTCCTCAGTTGTTTCAATGACATCTTGTCTCTTCCCTCTTTATCCCTTTTTCTCTCAGTCGGTGTATCCTCATAGTTGAAAAAATAAAATAAAGCAGCCGTGTTTCCTGGATAATGATAAAATGCCTCTCAAAAAAATTCACTAAACAAACTTCACACAACTCAAGAGTCTAAACTGGAACTGTAGTAGAAAGCGGAAGAGAAAACTCCGGACATTTTGTCATAGGTTTTGTGTGCCTGACAAAACTTACAATAAGACGTAGCGTGTAAACCCGCCTTTAGACTCCCGTGCTAAGCAAACTGTAGTCTAAGGCCACAACTTTGGACACTACATTCCCTTCCCCGTTTCTCTAACCTTTTCTCAAATCACTGACTGTTTTACAGAGCTGCTGCCCAGCCCACCGGAATACGTAGAAGTAGATGCTCTAACAGAAAGTATCTTACGAGTCGAATGGTCACCACCAACCTCAAATGCAGACACCGTTACCGAATACCTGGTGAACGTGACCTCACTCCAAAGTTTCGATGATCGACTTTTGGAATTAGACGAGAATCCAGTTATGACAAACGGAAGTACATCTACCAGGCATGTGGTTACTGTAAAAGTTCCTGCCGTGCAGAATTACACTGTGTTGAAGGATTTGGCGCCGTTCACTATGTACGAAGTCAGTGGTAAGTAAAAGTAATCAATCAATTTGCAACCTTTATTATACACAGATTATGTTATGTATGATGCCTTTGGCTTATATACAGTCTTCGAAAGGTTGGTGAATATCGAAACTGGAGATACTGCAGACCAAAATATGTGAATTGACCTAAACATACCTTAGTCCAAGAGTTGATAGTTTGCGAGATACAGGGTGTCAAAGTTACAATTAGGAAAAATAGAACATAAAATTGTAACTTTGACACCCAGGTTTCTCGTAAGCTATCAACTTTTGAACTGAGGTAGGTGTAGGTCAATTTACATATTTTGGTCTGTAGAATCTCGTTTCGAGATTTCCCAACCTGTCGCAGTAACTCTTTATATAATCAATGAAAAACAAAAAACATATTGGTTCTGTATACATTCAAAATACGTACTAGGAAAGGGGTTAAATACAAGGAGGATGATAGGGGACGTATAACAAAACCTTTTTACAAAGTATCTATGAGATATAGTGTACAGGACGCTTGCATTTTTGAGGCTGGATTTTGAGTTTGGTCTACATTGGTCAAAATTGGCTTCACTTCTTTGTCGTCCTCGGTGATTTCAAGAAACTTTTTGTTCGCCTGACCCAGGCGTGTTGCAACACTGTCCTTTTGTAGCATCTCCCAAAGTATGTCATCTAGGATACGCTAAGGGAACTGCCCAGCTAAAATAGTTTTTTTTTTAAATATTTTGAACAATATTTGATGTGTGTATTAAAATGAACGAAAATTTTTTCTTAGTGCAATTTTTTGCGTTTTGAATAAAAAAAAATGATTCTTCGCACTTTTCAGCATGAAAAAGCTCTCTGAATTTTCGTTATAGTTAGCCGTTTTTGAGATATTTCGATTTTTAAGGTTCGATGCATTGTTAATTATTTATGGGATTGGGCATTACAAGTAGTTAAGATGATCATTTAGATTGTGTTTTTAAACACAGCAATAATTCCTAACTCCAAATAAACACAAAAAAACAGAATATTAATTTGTTTAATTTTCCAATATTATTTTTAACAAATTAAATTAATTATTTACAACTAAAATGCTATTGGATAATTAGGACAAACATACAAAATCTAAAGTAGTTGCTCGAAATGTAAACCCAATTGTTCAATACACAATTCACATCTACGAATGATCGAACGTGGTATAGCATTATTCAGATAAGGCCTTATTTCATCACATGCATTCCTGATTCTGTCTATTAGCATATCTCTTGTGGTTACGGGAGTCTGGTACACTTTTTCTTTTAGAAATCCCCACACAAAGAAATCTAATGGATTTAGGTCAGGGGATCGTGGAGGCCAGGCGACTGGTCCTCGACGGCCGATCCATCTTTCTGGATAATTTTCGTCCAGCCAGTTTCTAACTATTCTCGAATAATGAGCAGGACAACCATCAAGCTGGAACCAGGCCAATCTTCTTAAATCTAACATAACATCATCCCATATATTTGCATGTTCAGCCTTTAAAAATTCCAAGAAGGTCGCAGCATTTAACCTTGCAGGCAAAAGGTAGGGTCCAAATAGTCGTTTACAGTAGATACCAATCCACACGTCCACACTAAATTCATGCGACCAAATATGTTGATTATGAAAATTTACCACTCCACGTCTAGTGAAGCATGACTCATCGGCCCATAAAACGTTACTTAAAAACCCCCTATTATTATCAGTTCTATCAAGAATCCACTGACAAAATGTGATTCTTCGTTCTCCGTCCCCTGGCTGTAGTCCTTGCACAGGTTGCAAATGGTAAGGACGTCTATGGTCATTTCTAAGAACACGGTGAACATGGCTTGCTGAAATTCCCAAGGCACCAGAAACTCCTAACACTTGTGGTCGGATCTCTATCAAACTCACGCAGAACATTCGGGTAAATCTGCGCTGACGAACATTTATGTTTTGATCACTTTGGAGATTTCCAAAACCATTTTCAATTATTTGGCGATGCACTCTTACAAATACTGAGCGAGTTGGATGTCGTCTGTTTGGAAATCTTCGTGCGTATTCTCTGGCTGCTTCTGCTGCGTTTCCATTTGCAAAGCCATACACAAAATGAATATCCGCTAACTCTTGATTGGAGAATAAAAATGGCATTTTTATAAAACTTACAAAAAAAAAAACAGGTAAAAGAAACTAAATTTCGTGCATTCACAATTGCAAAAAAACGTTTCAGGTTTCAACAGACAACAAAACTAACTGTCAACTAATTGACGTTTAACCTTATTCTGCTTTCAATTTCAAAAATATTTGCAGCCACAGCCTACTTCTAAAAATTATCGAGATACTGACTTTTTAACGTTATTTTATCATAAATAATTAAAAATGCATCGAACCTTAAAAATCGAAATATCTCAAACACGGCTAACTATAACGAAAATTCACAAGAGAGTTTTTTTATGTTGAAAAGTGAGAAGAATCAGTTTTTTATTCAAAAAGCAAAAAATTGCACTAAGAAAATTTTTTCGGTCATTTCAATACACTACAGGTACAGTAGAGAGCGCCCTCTAGCGGCTACAGTAAAACTATGCCCATGGTTCGTTTTGTCATACCAAAAAACCCGTGTATACCAAATTTTCACTGTTATACATCAAATATTGTTCGAAATATTTAAAAAAACCATTTTAGAAAGTGAATTTAAACACCCTGTATTTCGGAAGCCACGCATTTTTCGACCTAATTTTAAAAGTTCTATCGAATCTTAAAGTTATGCAACAATAAACTGAAACAGCCTGTATAATCATTGATTAACGTATTTTTCCAGAAGATAATTTGTCACAGCTGTTACTCAATTTACTACGTATAATTTAAAAGGTTAGTGACTCATAGATGGCGCTGTATATGAGCATATAGAAGCATCCAGGTAGTTACAGCGCCATCTATATGAGCACACACATACATGCTTATAGTGGACGCTACAGCTCCATCTATGTGAATATACGAGGCATATAGATGGATATAATTAATAGAAAAAAACACGAAGGCAAGTTCAAAAGCGATAAGAGGGCTTAAGTTCACAACCGCAGGGGTATTACGTATCTTGAAAAGTGACATTTTGTCGTTTTCTCTTAACATTCCTACGTTTTTTGTGACATAACGTAGATTTTAGCTGTTGTAACCTTGTTGTGAACTAGTTTTGTAGCTGTAAGTGTTCTACAATGCTTCCCTTCCCTGACTTCTTTTTCGTTATGCCCTTCTGCCCCTTCCTTTCTGCCTTCCTTATCTCTCGCCTATTTACTTTTTCCCTTTATTTTGTACCCTCTGTTTCTTACCGCGTTTGCTCTTTATCTCCTTTGTTCTTCTTCTCAACAATTCTACTTTTCTGCTCTCTTTCTCTGTTTCTTTCGGCTTGTTCCCCTACTTCCATTCCTCTCTTTTTGATGTCGTCCTTATGTTTCCCATCCTTGCATTTGTTTTGTCTCCTTAATCTCTGCGTGTCTTATTTTTTTATCTTTTTGTAGATATGTCCAACATATTTTATAGTTTAGTGGTGTTGAAACAATTGCCTGTTGATTCATGATCGCCTTCATTATAAAAAGAAATTCTTAACGTTTCAGTTACCGCTTCGAATAAGCATGGCAGCAGTCTCCCGAGCTATACCATACGCTCTCTAACGCTGGCACCTGGAACGTCCAAACCAACGTCGGGAGTACCTTCTGCACCACCAAATCTACCGGACGTACGACAGTGTTGCCAAAGGCGAGGAGTTTCCCATAAGGTACGATAACAACAACAATTGAACAGTTTTTCAGAAATACTGGATTTAGCTGGCAATCACTAATGTAAAGAGCACAGCTAACGAGTACAGAAAGTGGCTAGCAAGTTTACAGTGGCGAGGACGAAGATAAGAATCCTATGCACGAGATCCCCATTCATAGAATCCTTATCTTTGACACCCTGTAAACTTAATTATATTAGATCTCCGTGCACACGCTCATAACGGTTGTCTCACTTACCAAAGCGAAAATGTATAGTTTCACAATTTTCTGAAAAAAGAGTCAGTTCCTGAGAACAGAGTAGAATAGATTGTTCCGAGTTCTGACATCCATTGACGATTTCAAACATAATTTTATTTCATTTACTCGTATTTTGTTCTTTCACATCGAGGGTCTTGTGTGTTTTCTATTTATATAATAATATTTAGAGCAAAAATACCTTTCTTGTCTTTGATGTGTGCGAAGATGCAAGTAGCGCAAATTAGTTATAAGTTTTAAAGTTTCTTGTCATCCTAGCGAATGGAGTTGGTTATATCATACACCCACTTTCTAAATAACGTGTCTAAGCACTACTTGTGTATTCAATATCAATAAACTATTATTATTTCGCGAAAACAGGTTTCTGAATGCATCCATTTGCGGCAAAATAAAATATTCCTGTTTCATTATATAATTATCAGTTTCACCGCAAGTCTAACTTCGTGTTTGTACATGCGACTGATGAACGACGCACTTTTTCTACCAAGACTTGTTCGGGGAGCGACTGTTCAGAAATATAATTATCCAAAAGGTCACAGAATCACGCTATTTGTTTATTTATTTTTCTCTTTGTATTGACTTTCTAAATACAGGGTGTTCGAAAAATAGACGGAGTTATTTCAGAGGGTAATTCCTTGTTAAAACATATGAAAAAAAAAGTTTCTATAAACATGGTCTGGAAATGCATAGTTTTCAGGATACAGGGTCAGAAATTTAATTTTTTTTTATTAAAATCTTAAAAAATATTTACCCGATTCTGTTGAAATTTGGCGATACATAGCGAATATTATTTTCGAAAAAACGTTCGCCACTGCATTTTCTGTAACTACAATTTTTGTTGTTTAATGAAGCATCTAAAAATACAACTTCTTTGCCTCTTGTGTCTTTTTGTATCTTACTTCGTTTTAGAGAAAAAAAAATAAAAACCTTTTTATTGCGTCACTGGACAAAATTGGTTTATTAATTTTGGCTAAAAAACAAGTGCCTTGGAAAACAAAAAATCAAAAATTATCCTCTTAATACAACAAATAATATTGCCAAATTTCAACAGAATCGAGAAAATATGATTAAGATATTATTTAAAAAAAATTAAATTCCTCGACCTGTATCCGGACCTATACAACACACTCAGCTTCTGGTAGTTATTCTAATTCCTCATTTCAAGAATTGTGGCAGCTGATTTCCATAAAAGGTGAAAGTGCAAACGTGCTATAGATTACACTTCCACCATTTTTTTAAATTCTCCTTTAAGGATTTTTCTGATGCAAAAATGGCATCAAGTGGATCGACTTTACACTTCCCACGCCTTCAAAACAACTTCTGATTCAATTTCCATGTAGTGCAATAACATCAAGAAGACGTAGGTTTTGTTAGATCCAGTAATGCACTATTTGGGCTTTTTATGGAGAAAAAATGCTCAGATTGCAGCAATGAGCGAGTCCGTACACAATTTGGTTGGACTCTGTTGTGAAACTGCTTGTCAATAATGTCTGATAACTGTTTATCATAGCTCATGATACACAATCATATACTATTACGTCACGAAATCAAATAATCTCAATGAATTTCTCTCCTAGCATATACACATAATAACGCGTCCACCTCGTATATCGCCGCACCGCTACTATACCTTTATGCGTCACTCGGACCGAATACCAAAGTTGCAGTATTTGTAAACAACCCCCTGGCGCACCACACGTGCAACCGATAGGCGATGCATCTGGTGAATATATTTTTGTTTTAAGAGCAAATGTATGAGGTGTGAAATACGAGTATGCCTAACAGGTGTGCAGAACTACCGGGGTTGGAAATGTATTGGTATACTAATATAAAAAATTGAGATACCCTACCCCACTCCCTACATCCCCACATCCCAATTTTTCACACCTATAGATGTTCTCAAAAATGTTCAGAAGCCGCTGAAATGTCAAAAAACAAAGATATCTATATTTTTTTCGTTTTCAGATTTTTCTCCTCCGCCAAAGGACTAACTTTCAAAATTTACAAAGCTTTTTCGTCCTTAATATGGTAGTAACTTTGGGTAGTAATTTCATCCAAATCCAAGTTATCTCTCCAAATTATATGCGGTCCAACGCGAATAGCGGACAGACAGAGTGTCATGATTTTTCGTGCTGCATATGTCAAATAACATCCAAAAAACATAATATCTCATTCTCGAAATTTTTCGCATCTACAATACTTCCATTTAAACTTTATAAAATAATTTTGTACCGTTAGTTGAACCGATAATATTTTTTTTTCTGAATTTAAACACCGCAGTGAAAACATATTTCCATCCACTCTCTTATTCAAGTAGGGAAATACATAATTGGTTGCGTTTTAATTGATTTTAGAGTCCAGACACAACAAAAGAATTCATTAATATGTTTCCGCACATTCCAGTTCACTATAATGTGGAATTATCCAATTTGGTCAGTTATCTCCAAACAATGAGCAAAAATGTGAAAAATATGGAACATTTTCAGTGATATTTCAGGTATGGAAAGCTTGTGCAAATGAATGCAAACGGATTCCTGTTAAGGCATGTTACGTATTATGATTGTGCTTACAATACTGTGATAAAAAAAAAAGAAATCCGGTTGAAATGAATTTTTATATGATGTGGTTTGAAATTGCCGATGTGAGTTGGTATTTTTGTTTATGTTACGTGCGAAATAGCGGAACTTCAAATTCGATAATCCCATAGGAAATTGAATCAAGTGAATTGACGCAGTACTTTTTAAGCATTTACATATATAAATGTTCGAATTATACAGATGCAATTCTAAAATTTTTAGCTGGTTTCGAATTTAGGATCTTCTAGGTAAATCAAAAATATTGAATACCTTTTACTGACGTTTCGACCACCGCAGTGACTTTTTCAAAGTTAGTATTTCCAATATTTGTAAAGGAGTATTCAATGCATTTGATGTCAAATGGTTTTTATTGTGAAGGCAACAGTCGCGGATCCAGGGGGGGTAATGGGGGTCATGACCTCCCCCCAGGCGAATTTAATTCGACCACCAATTTTTGAAGTTCCAAATCTCTGTAATGCACACATATTAAATGGATGCCGTACTGGTATTTTCTACTAAACACTGGCAGCACTATATCCGACAACTTTGATTTAACTAGGAGCTCATAGATGATAGCGCTAGACTGGTTGCCTATGCGGTCAGCTTCATGTAGGAAAAACTTTTATCGCTATTTGCAAATTAATGACGGCAACCGAGAATAAAAAATTAGAAGGACCTGCACAAGTAACCGAAACAAGCTCATGGATAGTGCAAAAGGTTTTTTAATAGTAATTTGATGCAAAAAGTTAATCTGATGCTGCTTCTACGTACCAATAAGACAACTAATTCAACTGTTTCAATATTCACGCGGATCTAAAATCCATCTAAAGTTCGAACTACAGATTTTGCTGGCAATAAGGATATCACATATTAACAGGGGCTTACAATTACGTAGTCATGCCATAAGTTCTGTCCCTCGTTTTCAAACAAGTGTAGACCTGTTAATATTTGTCCGATTGTTTACATTGTGGTGTTAGTTGATTAAGCGCTTTTCGGGTAATTACATATACCTCAGTTTGTATTGATCTCTCGAAGCATAACGATGGAGTGGGGCAAGGCAGAGAACCGTATTGCAGTGATAGCTTTACATAAGTGTAATCACAGTGCTAGTCAGATTTTTGAACTCTTACGCGGCCTTCAAATATCGCATAAATTTGTGTCTAGGACCATTCAGCGGTACAATGAGACGTCCTCTGTTGATGACAGGCCAAGAAGCGGAAGACCTCGTCAAGTAAGGACTCCAGCAGCCATCAAAGCCGTAAAAGCCAGGATTCAAAGGAATCCACTCCGGAAGCAGAAGATCCTATCCAAGGAAATGAAGATTCCTGTCCGGACGATGTCGCGCATCATTAAACAAGACCTAGGGCTAGGGGCTTACCGGAGACGTACGGGCCAGCGACTTACGGCCACCTTGCGACACATCAGGGCGACAAGATCCAAGAAGCTCTTGGAGAGGTACGCAGCTGGGGGATTCCGAAAGATTTTGTTCACGGATGAGAAAATCTTCACCATAGAAGAAAAATTCAACCGACAAAATGACAAAGTGTATGCAAGGAGTTCACAGGAAGCTTCGGAGATCATTCCGAGAGTTGAGAGAGGCCACCACCCTGCGTCAGTCATGGTTTGGTGGGGGGTGTCCTACGAAGGGGTCACTCAGCTCCATTTCTGTAAACAGGGCGTGAAAACAAAAGCGGCAAACTATCAGAGCGACATACTGGATCCTATCGTCAAGCCTTTAAGTGGTACATTGTTTGCCAACCAACACTGGGTCTACCAGCAGGATTCCGCCCCCGCTCACAAGGCTAAGAGTACGCAGCGCTGGCTGGAAAGCAATGTGCCAGAATTCATTGCTGCGGAAGATTGGCCCTCAGGGAGTCCGGACCTCAATCCTTTAGACTACAAGTTGTGGGACCTGCTAGAGCAGTTGGCCTGCTCCAAAGCCCACCGTAATATCGAGTCCCTGAAAGCGGATTTGATCCGATCAGCGGCAGCTATTCCTTTGGAAGCTGTGCGTGCAGTGATAGATGAGTGGCCCGCGAGATTGAAGCAGTGTGTGAAGGCCAAGGGGGGACATTTTGAATAAAACTGTTTGATTATGAATTCTAAAAATGTTGTCGAATAAATAATATCTTTCATATAAATATATCTTATCTTGTTTCATTTTTATCATGAGATTATCATGGGACAGAACTTATGGCACGACTATGTATATGCACAATAGTAGCTGCTGCTCACTATTACCTCTGTTCTTTTTTACTATATGATCAAACATTTTTTATTGAATACAAAATAACAGAATTATTCTTATTTGAATCCTCGTCTTGCTTTTCGTTCAGCAAAAACTTCCATCGCAGAATCCAAATTGAGTGTATTAGTCACTGATCTTTCGATATAGAGCGTAGAGAAGTTGTTGAGTGTATCTTCAGCCAAAAAAGCTCGACGGTATTCTTTAATAATTTTCAAAGACCTCATGACACGTTCAGCACTAGCTGAACCGATAGGCAAAGTCAAAAGCAATCTGAATAAACTGCAGCTCTCTGGAAAACTGTCTATAAAATTGTTTGCAATCATGAATTCCATATAATCTAGCGGGCTGTCATTAGTAAAATTACGATTTTCTGAAAAATACATGCTCGTAAAACTGGTGCTCGTAAAACTGGCTAATTCATATTTTAGATCTGTAGTGAAAAATTCCGAGTATTTTTCCATCAAATGTGACGCTGGTTTCTAATTCGCTTTGTTTTAGATTGACTAATCTCTCTGGCATCAAAAAACCAAACACATCCATTCACCGACACGAAATCCTTCAGCACGTTCTTGCAATTCGTTACTCATTGAATCCAAAACTTCGTAGTAATTTATTCGATATTTTTCGTGTGTTTCCAGTGGCGATTCAGCAGCTTTTTCGTGGAACATTGTTTTGATTTTCCTCTTTCTGACAATTGGAAAACCAGGATTTTCTCATTCCATCTCTTCCCATTTATTCTTAACAAAATTATCATATGTGCTTTCGCTCCTCAAATCTTGTAATGTCCATTTTGCCATTAGTTAAATCCGCCACTGTAACAAAACCAGAAAAAAGTTGTTGCACTAGGTTCAAAGGAGATGGTAAGTATTAATATTAATCGATTCGCGGGAAGACAAAAAAAGAAGAATTAATTTTGTTATTTAACAATAGATTGTTCATTTATAAATTAGATTAAATATTTTTATCACTTTTAGGCTGTACCCTAAGGGTACAAGGGTAGGGTTGTCATCTGTCGTCCGTCCGCCAATCAAGTTTTTAATTTTTATGTCAAGTGTGACCCCCTTCAGACACAAATCCTGGATCCGCCGTTGGAAGGCAAGCACACAAAATAATCACAAAGAGCTTAAATAAATTCGGATCCTGCTACCATATACAGGTAGAAAGATCCGCACCTCCATTCAACCGAAAAAAAAAATACAATATTTCTTCACCTAGACCTTAACCCTGATACGTTACAGGCAAGAGAGTTCATCCAAAAAGAAGACGGAAATGACAAATTCTTGTATACACAAAAAAGGAGTTAAATTTTGTATGTTTCATATTACACACTCATCAGCCAAAAGAAAACGCTTCATTGTTCATTGATTATATGGCCATGCGACATTGGATGAAAAGAACGGTTTGAAAAACGATGTACAGAATTTAGGAGTATAAATTAAATGTCTGTAACGCAGGCCGAGAGTGTGGACGTCTTTTCTGTCAAGAATTTTGTTGAACAGATAAGCAGGAGTTTGATTGTGATAACCTTATGCAATATACAAATTTAATGCAGGATTCCTCGATATTTAGGCAGCAGCGGTGGCCGCAGTGGTAGACTCCTCGGTTTCCTGGTCAGTCGCCGTGCGCTGCGCGGGATCGAATCCCGTCCCAAAAGAAATTTTTCTCTTGGTTATGAATGTTGCCATTGTCCGTTGGTGGGTGGTAGACGTTCTCTGGCTGTTCAACGCGGAGGTACCACCTGGCGGATCTCGTAGGCGGGGCCAGAAGGTGCATGTTGCCAGAGTCCGTGTGGCGTCCCTGATTCACCCTATAGCACCACGGTATCCCAAGGGTGTTTATGCCTTCGTGGTAGTTGGATTATAAAAAAAATTCGTTCGTACCAGGTGTAGGCTGGAGTACTGTCGAGAAACATGATCTTGCCTTCTAGCTCCCCTGAGTTTTGCCGTATTCGTAACTTGTCTTTTTCGCGTTTACGTATCCATAGCATAAACAGTGCATCTGCATAAATAACGTGTAACAACAATTAAGACTCCACTGTTTTCTTTGATTGCTGTGGAGGATACGTCTACTATTATTTAGAATTTTAGCGTTACTGTAACCGCTTTTTAACATAGACATGACATGCTCAGAGAACCTGGGTGAATAGTTTAGGTGGACATCCAATTTTTTTGTTAAATCTTTTAGAATGTTTTTTTTTCATTTTCCATGCTTTATAAATTTTACTAAGGCATCTGTTTCAAGCCTTACTGGTACTAAAAAACATCACCACTGATTCCAAAGTATTTACTGCTAGTCAGATGCCAATGATAAAGCTTCTGAGTCCTAATTCAATTGATCACATGCAATATACAAATTTAATGCAGGATTCCTTGATATTTAGGCAGCAGCGGTGGCCGCAGCGCGGTAGACTCCTTGGTCTCCTGGTCAGTCGCCGTGCGCTGCGCGGGATCGAATCCTGTCCTAAAAGAAATGTTTCTCTTGGTTATGAATGTTGTCATTGTCCGTTGGTGGTAGACGTTCTCTGGCTGTTCAACGCGGAGGTTCCACCTGGCGGATCTCGTAGGCGGGGCCAGAATGTGCATGTTGCCAGAGTCTGTGTGGCGTCCCCCTTTCGCCTGTTTTCCCCTATAGCACCACGGTATCCCATGGGTGTTTATGCCTTCGTGGTAGTTGGAGTATAAAAAAAATCGTTCGTAACAGGCGTAAGCTGGAGTAGTGTCGAGAAACATGATCTCGCCTTCTAGCTCCCCTGAGTTTTGCCGTATTCGTAACTTGTCTTTCTCGTGTTTACGTAACCATAGCATAAACAGTGCATCTGCATAAATAACATGTAACAACAATTAAGACTCCACTGTTTCCTTTGATTGCTGTGGAGGATACGTCTACTATTATTTAGAATTTTAGGGTTACTGTAACCGCTTTTTAACATAGACATGACATGCTCAGAGAACCTGAGTGAATAATTTAGGTGCACGTCCAATTTTTTTGTTAAATCTTTTAGAATGTTTTTTTTTCATTCATCATGCTTTATTCATTTTACTAAGGCATCTGTTCCAACTCTTACTGGTACTAAAAAACATCACCACTGATTTCGAAGTGCTTAGTGCTAGACAGATGCCAATGATAAAGCTTCCGAGTCCTCATTCAATTGATCACATGCTTTTTCGGTGTCAGTCTCTTCAGATGTTATATACCGGGTGTCAACGAAATCATTTTACAAGGCACTATACAATTGCTGTTTAAAGAAGAACCTTGAAATTGTATGTGAAGATGACTTACAAAAACTCAGATTATCCATTAAGGAACAACTGAATATCGCTTCCGGTTTGACCGGAGGTGTGTATGAAATAAGTATTTTAAATAGAACCCTGTATATATTTTTACATATTTGCATAGAGCTTAAAATTTTCTTATCAATGACAAGTTGTCTCAAGTAAAAAAATAAATGAAAAAGTACTCACTGTTCAGTTGAATTGAAATTCCAAGTACGGCTCTGTCGTATTTACATCGTAGTCGTACGTCGCATAACTGTACGTTGGCGCTGGCGCTGTGGACGTGATCAAGGGATAGGACAGAACCGGCTTCGGTTTGGTTTAGGTTTGTTGAGTTTGCGGGGCCCAGTATCTCGATTCCCTTAAGACGTTGGTGTATATGCTACTAAGAAAATCCGCTTGTTTTCTCAAGATCTATACGTCGTGTAAAGGAAAACACTAACTTTGCGGACATCCTGCATAACTTCATTTTAATCACGTAGTGGACTAGTGGAATAGCAATATCCTTGTTTAGTCAAGAGTTAAAGAAACAAAGCAATATTGTTCCACCTTAAGAGAACGATATTGCAAAGAATCGGAATAGCTTTTGGAAACTTCAAAGCTCCTGATCATTTTACAACCAAGATGTTGATTCGACTATAGTCAAATACCAGAATTGATGACAGTAGCAGAAGTCATCGTGCGCCACTGCTTTGACGCTGTACCTTTTGATTACAGCGACGTTCACCGACATTTCACAAAGTCGAAGGCCTCCGCGTAATAGCAGTGGCGTACGATGAGTTCCGCTACTGTCATCAATTTAGGTATTCTACTATAACAAAATATTTCTGTTTCAGACATGTCTGAGTAAGCTTTGTGATCCCAAAGATGCAGCTGCAGCCGAGATCACCGACCTCATGATCTGCGCACCATGGGCAACCGACACTTTTGGTTGTTTGGCAAACGACGTTGACCACACGCCATGCTGTAAACAACGAGGACTTCCAGAACTATGCCTGCAACTGTGTACCGGCAACGTGTCCAGTATTGACTTCAACTACTTCAAGTGAGTCAGCACAGACATTTGGAAATTTTTGAATATGTTGACTGGTAAAAGTAATGCTGGATGTTACTGTTTGGATTCTTCCTACGCTTATTGGCAAGAACGTATTGTAATCGCGAAAAATTTCGAAAATTAGAATTTTTTTTTTGATGTATATGTCACGAAAAAATGTGTCACTGATTTCTATGGAGTCACGAGTCAAGCTGAAGTCAAATATTGTCAATCCAACACCAAGTCAAGTAGTTTTTACTGACTGTCAAGTATTTCAAAAATTCAAATGGTCTTGATACTACCTCTTTTTCAAGTTGTGACTGTTATACATTTAAAGTTAGTTGTCGAGTTGCGTTTTTTTAAGAAGTTTAATTTTGTTTTTGTATCCATAAAAAACCTGCGTATCTGGGTTGTGTGCCACGCTATACGAAAATATACTGTTCATAGATGGCGTTGAATGACCTAAGATCCCTCGATCCGCTGCTGATCTTGCACCGACCCTGATTTTACTTCCTAACAGCTTTGTTCTTGAATCTACCTAATTTCAACGACACCACCAATTTCGTACTTTTTTATTTTGTTTTCGGTTGGGCAGTGCTTTTTGCATGCATCATTCGAGTAAAGCAATTTTTTTTATTTTCTATTGGATTATTTGAATAATAAATAATAGTTTAAAAAAATAAAAAAACACGGTTTTAAAGCTAACCGGTCTAAAAAGTAGAGAATAATTTTTAATTACAAATATTACCGTAGTAGATGGTCGAACAATCAACCATAATTAATGACCTCAAAATAAAATTATAACAAAATTTGAGTATTAATAGAATAATTCAATTCAGAACCATTCTATTGGCAACTATCTATGTAGTACTCTATTGAAATATACCCATTTTTTTTCTGAATTGAATTATTCTGTTAATAACTTAAATTTTGTTATAATTTTATTTTGAGGTCATTAATTATGACTGATTGTTCGACCATCTACTACTGTAATACAAACTCTTTATTATTAAAAACTATTTTTCTACTTTTTTGTTCGGTTAGCTTTAAAGCGTGTTGTTTAGTTTTTTTAAACTATTATTAATTTATCATTTTTTAGTTCGATTTATCAATTATTTCGGTTATGGACATTTTTTCATTGTGGCCATTAGAGGGTGCTTCACACTGCACTTTGGATCGTTTTAAATGGCCATACTTTATTCTCAGCGTTGTTAAAAAAAGAATTTCCTCGATATTTTTAAGCAGAAAGTCACTCGTGTTTAAATAGGGTTTGGTGATCAGTTTTCGAAGAATTTGCAAATTTCTGCACCAATGCAGATTGTGCAAATCAAAATGCTTAGAACTATACAAAAACTGAGTATGTCATAGATCCCGTCAAAATGAACAGTTTTTTTCTATAATAAAGATGTGAATCAAATTTAGTAAATATAGCTGTTACACTAATGTTTTTGTGGTGTAAAAAATATAACTTAAGTGTTTTTAACAGTTGAACTCTAGTTGGTTTTCTAAGTCTATATTTTTCATTTTGGTTGGTTTCTGTCGCGCACTGAGTTCTAAAAATTCATCTACAAAAGTTGCAAATATTTGCAGCTAGTTTTTTCTTTATGTGTTGAGGTGTCTCAAACGCACATTTTCAACTTGTTTTTAAAATATGGAAATACCTGCACTTTGTCATCGGAACCCATTAGTGTCAAGCGTCTGAAAAAAATGCACGGATTTACTAAAAAAATATGCCACGACAGCGCAAAGTGACTGTCAACATTCCTTTCAAATTCAATTGTTTTTCCAAACTTCAACTATATTGAACTTAATAGGTCAGAGCCTTCTGTATTTACAGTTACGTCATACGGCACGCCTAAATTCTAACATAATATCTGGTGAAAATTGATAAAGAATATTTTTTTATTTTGAAGTTGAATAAATGAGAGATGAAATAATGTAAGAAAAAAGAAAATGTATCTAAATGTAAATAAAAAATAAATGTAAATATCTAATTTTGGGCTTAAAAAAATATTTTAGCAGAAAAGATAAAGAGAAATATAATATTTATACTTGGTTACTATTTTCGCGGAAATGGTGCTCTCTGACTGCCGCCTAATATCTCACCGTCACATTGATCGGGCTGGCGAGCATGGCCTAGCCGACGTTGCCAGATGGTCTCTACTTTCAGTAAGGACAGTGAAGAAAGTTCTTGATCGCAGCGTTATCAAATGGGTGGGGCTATGGACTAACTGGGTGGGCCTACTTGACTCACTTGATACATTTAATTATCTTTTTTGCTATGCATGTTGGTAGTCAACTTTCTTTCTTATATTAATGATCGTTTATAAATCGATGACAGATTTGCCAGGTAAGTTGACGCCATTTTTTTGCTTTGTTATTTCATCACCATAAAATTATATTAACCTATAAAACTATGCCCTCCAACAAATTCCATCGCGGATGCAAGATTTTATAGCCTCCATTCTTCGCCTCCGGCAAACTAGCGTTCAAGTTTAAACTCCGATAATGGTAATGAATTCAGCGTCATACGAGGAATCGAATTATTCTGGCAGCTTAAACCGATATAGATATCAAGTTTAGTTTCTATGCATACGATTTCTCCGTGTTTCTGTCATGGGAAATTGCGAACTACTCATTTACATATAGGACTTACATGTAGTTTCCTAAATTATAGGCGGATGAAGTGCTCGCGTATTTATGAGTATCCATCTCAACACATTATGAAGTAACGATCCGTACATGTCTGTCCGTCTGTCTGAACACGATAAACTCAAAAACTGCAGAACGGGATTTTCTTATGGATATAGTGATTCAAGACGATCTTTATATGATTGTGACCAATTGATATAGTGATTCATGGGGAAGGGTTGCACCATGAGTTTGTTACCCAGGTTTTTCTTATGGTTTGTGAAGAGTGTATTTCTACTGCTGTTTGTGTTAAAATGTCACCTATAAGTAGATAGTGCTGCATTCAAAATCGGAAAAATCTACACCCTGTGATGATCTTTTAGTTCCCATTAGTATAAATTTAAAATTGTTCTCAAATTTTATTTGTATTATATACGAGCCCCTTCCCACTTCAGTTGGCCCACTTCAAGATTTGTACCAAAATATGCCTTTATAAACTAAACATGACGAAACTATTTACTTCTAAAACAATTTGTTTTCTCAAAAACATTTTAGATACACTATAGTCGTAAAAAATACATATTTGAAATCACTTAGACCTATAACTAATAGAACATCTGAACAAATAAACAATGTGCGAATAAATGCGCGAAGTTAACAAAGCAACAATTGAAAGATTACCATTGGGTAACATCATCTTTATTTTTTATTACGGCTGAAATTCTTTGGGGCATAGTGTTAACCAAGTTTTGGCAAAAACTTGGTGTAAAACAATCCCATATTTCTTGAAGCTTTTGCCTCAGTTCGGTGATTGTACGAGCAGGATGTTGTCGTAGAACCTTTTTCATCTCGTGCCACAAAGTTTCAATAGGTGACAGATCTGGTCTGCTAGAAACCCATTTCAAAAGTGGTAGATTATTTTCTTCCATCCATTTTATAGCCTTTTTTGAGGTATGGCACGCTGCACCATCTTGCTGAAACACAAAACCTTGGCCGGATGTCAAACATTCTTCCATCACTGGTAAAAGCGATTCTTCTAAAATTGCCAAATATTTGTTTGTATCCAAATTTCCATCAATAAAATGAAGTTTTCCTACTCCTTTTGATGACATACTGCCCCAGACCATAATGGATGCTGGAAATTTCACGTTTCTCTTCAGACAGTCAACTTGGAATGCTTATTTTTTTTGCGAATAACTCTACTGCGACTATCACCAACACAAACTTCGAATCGGGCCTCATCACTCCATTGTATTGCACACCATTGCTGAGTTGTCCATTGTCTATGTTCTTTAGCCCATCTAAGCCGATTTTTCTTTTGCAGTGGAGTTAATAGTGGCTTTTCTTTGGCCTATAAACAAGTTGTGCAACTTTAGGGTTTTTACTTCGCTTTTTTTTATAAGAAAACTTACCTTGCAAGTGCTGAATCCCAGTTTGTGGGCCTCTCTATGAGTTGTGGACCTCGAAATTCTCCTTCCAACAGCGTCACTCCACAGAGCACTTAATTGTAAATAATTGGAACGCCAGTTTTTCACGAGTATTATTTTTAATGCTCTTCGGTCGGCATTTGTGATATTACTTTTTTTCACATATCGTGGCTTCATATTAACTGGACCAGTTACGTTATATTTTCTAACAACATTTCTCACACTACACCGCGATAAGTCTAACAAAGTTGCAATTTCTGAGTTTGATTTCTAATAACCTTTCACTAATAACCTTTCCTCTACCCATTTTGAAAACCTTAACTACCCAAAACTATTTTAAACGTATTCTGACAGCTGTGATTAATAAAAACAATTGTCATGGCTTTTATTTTTCACAGCCACCTATGCGTTATACACTTATTTTGCATTGAAATGAAAATAGGTTGATATGCTGTAATTGCAACATGTGTTATTTTTATGCTGCAAATTTGACTAGGGAGTGATAAAGTTGGCGTTTTCTACTATATATTATCAAAATATTCATTGTTAATATTTTAAATCTATAACAGCCTGCTACATTTTTATTATTTATGTTTGATAAGAAAAAACTAAGAATTCAATAGTTGGGCCAACTGAAGTGGGAAGGGGCTCGTAATACTGAATAATGCTGTTGTAAATTGTTGTCTAAAATTCAACGCCAGCTGCTTCACTTTTTTCCCCAAACATGTATTCAAATTTAACGCTATTGTGGCAAGTAATTTTGAAAGTTGGCACATTTAGTCAGGATCCAAAAATGGTATGACACTTGCTAGATTGTTTCTTGAATAATGGATAATTTTATTGTTGGTAAAGAATCTCAGTTTTCCACATTTTTTTCTTAGTTACTTAAAATGATTCCAGTGTGCCCAAGGGTTTCCTCGGCGCCGTAACTTCATGATTCTAGTTTGAGTGAGA